TGGTACGGATCATTCGTTTCCCATTCCTACTTACTTTTATTCGTATTTCGTCCCAAAATATTCAGAAAATATTTTTAATTTAAATAAAACTTTACGCGATTTCTATTTTTAATTAAAACTAAGTATATTTACATTAAATTTAAACCACAAATAATTAAAAAAATCACAATACTAGCTTGGGGAGCAAGTGTGTTGAGGTTAGAGAAAGATCTCTGGAAAAACAAGAACTTTTTACTGGGCATGTATTGTTTAGTAATAAAATAACTGTGATTTCGAAACCCCTTATCTATCCCAGGTAAATCTATATCCAGATAAAAATAAACATTCTTATTTGAGAAGCAAGCAAACGTCATTGTGACTTAAATTATAATTCCAGAATGAATTAAGCATAATTTAATTAGCAATAATTACTTTGCTGTTGAAAGCTTAGTTTCTCTAGATTGACAACAAATCAACTATTCTGCTAAATTTCAAATGTTAACAAATATGGCTGTCATGCCAGACAAAAATTAGGCTTAGCCGCACTTAAAAAACTTAAAATTGTTCATAATTCCACAATTATTGCATGCAGGTCAACTAAAGACATAAGAACCTTAACTGACAGATAAGAATGCACAGAATTTATATTATCTGAAGAATTTTCTAATCGTTGCCCCTATTTAAATACTGTAATAAATCTAAAACTACATATTAAAAAAAAAAAAAAAAAAGCAGCAGCAGCTGTTTACAGGCGATTTACTATTTCTCATTCAATTAATTCAATTCTCACTTTGTGACAAAGTAAAAATACGTAAAAACTCGAAATATCTATATTAAAAATTACGAAGTAAATCTTAAACACTTATTTCGTGAAATAAATGCCAGAATGTATTAAGCATGATTTAATTCGCAATAATAAAAGAAGGCGTTATCTTTGTTGCGAATCGTGGTAAAAATAATTAGGCTTAGCCACACTTAAACAACATTGATAATTCTACAAATATTGCATGCAGATTAACTAAAGGCATAAAAACCTTTAACGTGAGATAACAACATAATCATTTTTAAGAAAAAAATCTGTCCCCTTAAAACGTTTTTTTCATGATTTACCTTCAAGTTACTTTAAAACACAATTTTCGGAATTAAACTTCCTTCATAAGGGTTCCCTCTTTTTTTGATACATTCTACTAAATTTATATTAGGAGATAATATAATAAATATTTCTTTAGTAAATATATATCTACATATATTTATATTCTTTTGGTGCAGCGGGATTGCAACCAAAAAGGAAGTGCATATCTATATGTTACAGCAGTCCAGCATGCAATATTTCAATGTGCTTAGATTATCCTTTTTTGAGTTATGTGAGATGGATACATACGTACGGCACGAAAAAATCTCTTCAGAATTCATTTTAAATCAGTTTTGTGGTATTTTGGGGAAAAAGAGTCTTTCATTCTGTCCTTACATACAGATGTCCCACAAAAACATCGTTAATTGCATTCGACAGAACTTAAATTGCGACGGAGCATGCTCCGGTGCTTCTTAGTTTTTGGGATATATTCTAATTCTAGTCGGAATGCACTAAAGTCTTAAATAGGAAGGCTCCACTTTTTTTACCAGGGTTGCCACGCTACCTGGAAAACCGGGAGAACCGGGAAAAGTCAGGGAATTCGAAAATTGACCAAAATATTCAGGGAAAAGTCAGGGAATTTAAGTATTTTTGTCAAAATCTGGAAAAGTCAGGGAAGTTCATACAACGATCCAGCCAAAAAAAAGCGATTTTTGCGCCGACGTCAGAAGAGGTAACTTTTTTGGCGAATTATGTATCACGTGAGTGTCATTCGGGTAGTTGGCATAGAGCCAATTTTCGCAGCTCCAATTTGATTGTCTTTTAGAAAGGCAAAGCAACTTTTGGTTTCCAATATTCTCGAGAATCGCATGTACAGTGCATGAACTAAAGAAAGTACCTGTTCTCGTATAAAACAAAATGGGTTTAATCCTAGTATACGGTACCATGGAGGTTAGAATCAAAGAATATGTATTGTAAAGAAGGAAAACCTCTCTGCAACAGACGTGGCTGTGGCTCCGTTCCATCATAGAGGGAAAACAGCTTTGCATGTCTGATATATCTGTTGCCAAAGCTCGAAACTGATGTCGAAGTTCGAAGGTCACGTTATCAAGAGTTCATAAAATGAATATCGTTTAAAATTTCTTTAACCACTTGCACTAAAAAGACGTGCCACGCATGTCAAGATGCTTTTGTCTCAAACCGCGAGCGACGTGAACACGTCGATAAGCATTTATCGCAAAAATGAAAATAACGTGGTGCACACGTCGCCTAACAACGAGATTGTTTATTTCTCGAGTTACAGCTCTGGATTGCACTCGCAGATGCGGAGCGGCGTAAATGAGACACTTTACCGCTTGTTATATTGTAGCGCACGGCAGCGCAACCGTGAAGTTTAGTCTTAGCGCAAGTGGTTAAACTCTAAAGGAAAAGAAAATATTTTTTGGCGCAAGTAAATTAATTCATGGATTAGTTATTTTCAGGGGAAAAAAAACTACGAAAACCCGTTTTTAAAATTATTGCGAAAAATCCAAGAAGAAACGTCCTTTGATAAAACGTTTCTTCTTGGATTTTTCGCAATAATTTAAAAACGGATTTTCGTAGTTTTCTTTTTGTCAAAAAGCGTTTCTTCTTAACACGTGTTTCTCAATTTCCTGTACACATAGCGGAGAGGGAAATTCTGGCCGCCAGGTTCCGTCGCCAAATCCCTTGGCAAATTTTCCCTCCGCATTCTAGCGGCGTAAAAGCATTTTACTTGTATGGAACCTTTTCTTCTTTACATAGACGTTCTTTGGTTAGAATAATAATGGGATTTGGCGACATCTTGATGCGCAGTAAACGGGTCATTTTGGTCTTGGCGACAATTTTCAAAATCGTGCCCAAAGCCTTACCGTATACTAGAATTTTACCGCAAAATCTTTTTAAACCTTTTTTTTTTTTTTCTTTTCTTTTTAATAAATACCTTGCCATTTTGCAGTAAAATAAAAAATAGTAATCAGTCATCTAGGCTAGCCATGTAATATAACTATATTCGCTAAAATATCGTTGATTATTCTAATTCAATTTTTAAGTAATTATTTTTATGTTATTCATATAATTTAATGTCGCTTCTTCCCTCTAAATTTATTTTTTATTAGTAAATAATATTTCCAAATTTCAGGAAATTTTCTCTGGCATAATCCGGAAATTTTTTATAGCAGTATGATGACATACCAAATTTAATACAAATTTAATGCACATATTTTTTCCTTATGTATGCTGCGAAATAAATATAAAATACCTCAATTTATTAAAATAGATTTCTTTCTTTCGTTTAGCTGCAGAATGTCTGCAAAAAAAGCCTTATTTTATTCCAGATTGGGAAGATTCTAATTTCAATCTTCAGTGGAGAAAACAACAACTATTATAATTATATTTGTGTTTTCAAGTGTTAAGGTGCCTTTTAAGAACATACCTCACGCAAATTAAATTTACCTAAAATCTAACCTAACTATTTAGCATTGCATTGTTAAGGACCGGATTAGCCTTGTGTTGAACTGGTGATGATCATGAGTAATAATTAAATAAAACATACATTTGTTATCCAATATATATATGTTAAATTTTATTAAGTTTCTTAAGTGGCAAACTAAACAAAATTATCAAACAAAGTATACCAAGAATAATTAATAAATGTCCTCTGGAATTTATTAAATAATTAAGTGAATTTGCTACACAATACAAGTAATACCATAATTAATTTACCTCTTAGTACAGCCAACGTACATTACGCGGATAGACTGGAATTTTCTTGAAACACACCTGGAAAAGTCAGGGAATTTCATTCTCGTGTTTGAGTGGCAACCCTGTTTTTTACGTAACTCGGGAACAGTTATTTCAGTAGAAATTTGATCTAGTGAGTTTTATTTTTAGCAATAAAATCATATAAAAATCGCTTATTAAATTTTATCTCTTTACATTTAATTTAAATTAATTAATTACTTTAATCTTTAATTATTTTGGTAATAAGATATGAATTAATTAAATAATAATTATAAATTAAATACTAATTAATAAATATTAATTAAATAATTATTAATTTGATACTCGTTAGCAATTTAATTTTTAAATTATTAATGATTTTAATAGTCATTTTATTTATTTAGTTACTCTTATTGCTCTTTCCTGACAGTCTTCCGCAGGGCTCCGGCACTTCTATTTTTAGAAATTAAGCCCTGGCATTTGATAGCAATAAAAATGGATGTTTTCATTGAAATGTGATGTCCGAAATTTTTCGCAATAACAATACTTTTTTACTTTGTACAAGGAAGTAATAAAAGAGGGGGAGAGAAAGATCTGAAATAATTTAATGTCACATCAAAGGATTTGTTCAGGTTTTTTTACGCTCTTGCTAAGCTCAATTTACCAAGGTGCTTTTGCACTCATTGCCTGATAAGAAATCTTTTTTTTTTTTTTTTTTTTTTTTTTTTTTTTTTTTTTTTTTTTTTTTGAAACTTTATTATTCAACATTGTTTTCTTCCCACTTATGCTACCAAAATTCAACAGTAAAATCATGAAAATTTTTAAAGCGGCATAGTTTCAGAATCCCAGCATAGTGTTAAGTGTTGCCATACATTTTTCTGTTTTTTTTTTCAGTCTTTTCCCCGGATTATAACTGTTTATGCTGTTTAGAATTCTTGATACATTTAAGTGTCACTAGATTTTTTATATTCCCTATTTATTTAAATATAACGAATGGTTATAATATTTGCAACATCCTTTTGTTTTGTGTTGAAATACTTTTTTATATTCAATAGGTTATTTAATATAGTGCCATTAGCAGTTGTGGCAACATCCTCTTGTGTTGCCATACACTTTTTTATATTCATATAAGAAAGATAATAATATTGCTATTATAATATGTGAATGTAAAGCAATAATATGTTCTAAAACTGCAAATTATATTTTTCAGAATGTTGTACTGATAGAGCGTAAGTAAAGAAATCATGTCAAAAACTTCATCTGCAGATGCTCGAAATGAACTCGCAGAATTGGTTAAGAAGAGGGCCGAGATTGCTGACACTTTGGCAAACTTAGAGCGGCAAATCTATGCCTTTGAAGGGAGTTATTTGGAGGATACTCAGCTGTATGGAAATATTATTAGAGGATGGGAAAGGTATTTAGCTACAAATAGGAACACCAGTAGCAAAGCTGATAAGAGGAACAGAAAGTTTAAGGAAGCTGAGAGACTCTTTTCAAAATCTTCTATTACATCAATGGCATCTGTAAATGGAATTATTGAGACTGAAAGAAATAATGAAACAGATATGAATGCAAACTCAAATGAAAATATACCTATTGCTGAGGGTTCAGTTAATATAAATTCTCTTGGTCTTGATTCACGAAGCAGTAGCAGTAGTTCGTCATCGTCTACTGTAAATGGAAACAGGTCTCCGCAAAATACTCCAGATTTTCCTGGTAAAATGAAAATGGGTCAAAGACTAAAAAAGAATGCAAAAAAGCCCAGAAGAGTTACTGATATGGACTGATTAAATTTAATCATTATGGCTATATTGTACATTTAAGTATATATTTATAATTTTTCGTATGATGATTTTAATATATCGTAATATTCTGTGAACACAAGAATATTATGTTTCATTTTTTTTAGTGTGATTGATGTTTACTACCACAATAGAATATTTTCATAGAAATTTAATTTCCTTTGAATATGATTTTTTTTTTTATTGCCTGCAGTTCTTTCATGAACATTATTTTATTGTTAATTTTGGACTTTAAATTATCATACCTCTGAGCAGGACACTTTTAGGCTGGACATTTGCTTCATATAACAGAATGAAGGTTCCTTCAGGAGCATTTGAAAGAAAGCTTCATAATTGTTTTAGTATTAAATAAATATGATGGAGGCTAAAAGACAGAAAATTTGAAATTTGTTTTGTAAGAAGTTTCTAATTTTCCAAATGTACTCTTTGCATATTTTCTTTTAAACATTAGTACATCTAGTAATATGACTACAAAAATTTCTAATGGGTGAGTGTTTTGTGTGTTCGGTAGTTGTAAATAAAGTAAAAGGTTTTATTTATTTGTATACATATGTTTGTGTAGATACGAAAGAACTGAAATATTTGTAAAAAAATTGCACATTTTTAAGTTTGCTGAAGAATTTGTAAAAATAACTTACAGAATTTTGGGAAAAAGATAATGAGCACTGGCTTCAGTTATAAGTAGCTTGTAATATAATACAAACTGTTCATTATATTTTTGGAAGCAAATAAGTATAACTTTTACTTATAGACTTAGTTTACAAAAAGTGGAATTTTTACATCAGTTATAAATTTATCGGTGATTAAAATGAGCTATAAACTAGTCGTTATAATTTTTTCTTAAGAAATATGTTTTGGAGTAACTTCCAAAGTTTTCAAAAAAAAAAAAAAAATATGAAGTGTCAGTAAAATTTTTAATCCATTTAATATTTGAGTATTTAGTTTTCTGTGGGGGCAGGGGGCGGTTAAAATGTTAAAAATTTATTAATAAGAACATGTCACCTAAATTAATACGTGGATTAAAAGAGATTATTGTCATATAGTATAAATGCAATGTTTGATTGCTTTGGATTTTTGCTTGTGGATACTTTAATGTATAAAATGTTTGTAGTTTGTTCTCTGTTAGTTTAATATTTGTTTTTTTGCAAAATTACTGGTTTTTGTTATTTAAGTTTTATTTATGTGTGAATATACATGTGTTGAATTTATTTTGAAGTAAAAAAAAAAGCATAGTAGCTTTAGTAGTATAACCATGTGTAGTAAAAAACAACACGTTTTTACTTAATCTTTTAAAAAAGTTTTGCATATGGCTTTTATTTAGATAATGATAGGCTTACTCTTTTGCTGACTCATCTTGTACAAATATTCATCCTGTTGTTTATATTATATTATGAAAATTTTCAGTGTTTTAGTTATTAACTTGGGGACATTTTGAATAGTTTAGAAATCTGTAGTTTTTCTAATTCTCATAACCACCTGATGTACAATATTTTAAATGTTCAAATAAAGATTTAAAACACTGTTTACAAAATTCTATCAAGTCCCAACTTTTATGTCATTTTTTAGTGTAGAAATTTATAAGCCACGTATGTAATAAATAGCTATTAAACTAAGATGCATATATATCATTTGCATAGTAATTCTGTAGTCTGCATAATGAATTCACATTATATTACAATATTACTGTAAAGATCTATTTTTAGTTATGTTGAGTAAGAATAAAAGAAAATTGTGATGAACTTTTTATAGTTAAGATGCCGTCTGCCATTGGATTTTCCAATAAAAATGCGAGAATGAAAGAAAATTGTGATAAACTTTTGTTATAGTTAAGATGCCGTCTGCCATTGGATTTTCCAATAAAAATGTGGAAAGAAAAAATACTTCATAGAAATAGAAAATATTTCGATTCAAATTTGCATTTATACTGGTAATAAGCACTAAAAATAAAATATCTAAATATGAAAATTATCAAGGGAAAAAAACTTGTCAATTTTTAAAATCTTTTTTTTAAACATGAAATAATATTAATTTTAGAAGAGAAATGACTAAAAAATATACAATAAAAATGATTAGGTTTTGTACACTTGAAATTTTACTAGAAAAATTTTGATTTAAAATCATTGTTGCTTTCAAACTAAAAGTGAAATGAAATGGGGTCAAAATTCATTATAAGATTTGTTCCAAACTCATCTATCGTATCTAATTTTGAAATACCTTTAACATTCATTTTTATCATGTTTCTTTTCATAAATAATGAAAAAGGGGAAATTGGCTACAGCAATATATGATAGTAATGATGTGCATAAACTAATGTACAAATAAAGTGAGGCATGATTAAAATTTTTCACAGAATAGAAACAGTTCCTTTGAAAATTACTGAATTGATGATGTTGGGATGCAGAAATGTGATATTAGTCGTTAGAGTATTTACTACATAAGCATCGGTGTTTGATATTAAACCTTGATTTTGATGTCTCATTGTGTAACACCTCGAAAAATTTACTCTTAATTTCAGAAGTGGAAAATTATTTTATAAGAACAAAAATTGTAAAATCAAAAAAAGTTTTAATCTGATGTTGGTAAGCAGGTTTTAGTTTAACACCTAAAACAGTTTTAAGGTAGGGTGACAATTAATTTCAAATTTTCGGGAGCAGCCTGGATTCCAGCTCTGTGTCCTGCATGCATACGTGTCTTGGAATTGATTTGTTTAAAAATTTTGTCAAAATAAATTTATTTTTCATGGTATTTCCTCGTATGCATCGTACTGTTTTTGGAATCTTGCATTGGCAGTATTGGGTATATAACCATATGCTACGTGAAGCATATTTTTATGTGTAGAGAGTGCCATTCACAATGGCATTGCCATCATGTCAATTTCCGTGGATGTGAGGACGGCATGGAACGTTTTCAACCACCAAACTGAGTAGGCGTGTGCTACCACCATGCATTAAGCAATAAACTATTGAGCTTGACCAACATCTTTTATTACACAGTTCCATATCTGGCAGCGTGATATTCAAGGTGATTCATAATGAATGTAGCGATTACAAACGGCTATAACTATTTAACTGAAAATAATTTGTGGATAAGAATTATGCAGAATGTGAAAGAAAGCTCAGAATTTTGTTTGCATTTTTTACAAATGTTCTATGTGACTTCTGTTGGTAATAAGGACAACATATACTTGGTATTCCATTTCACACCATACATTCTGAAGAATATCTGGATTCACCAGAACCAGAGCAATGTGCATTTTGAGTTCTAGAATTGTTTTTGGCAAAGGAAACAAACACAAAAACTAATCATCTGTTGAATAAGGTCCTTTAAATTTAATCCGCTGCATTTTCAGCCATGGGCACTTCGAGGAAAGATACTCCAATTAATTTTAACGTTTAATATATTAATTATATTTAATTTTGAAGGGAGACCAGAATCAAGATAAGCAAACTTTAACAAAATACATAGTACAATATGCAGAAAAATCGGTTTGTCTTAATAAATAAATGTAATAATTTTAGATAAATTATATAACACGGTATGTGGTAATGTAATCACATGCAATTAGGCAAAAATCAGCTAATTGTTTCCGTTTGGAAGGAAAGAAGGGGAACTGATTACCTCACTGTGAAATATTTTGTGTACCGATGCTTTATCCTTGACAGTATGCAATTTTTAACCCGCGAGCACACACGACGGGTATGTCATACCCATGTGGATTTTTCTTTTTGTATATTTTTCACCCATTCGTTCATAAAAGGACGAAACTTGGTGTAGCTGAGTTCAAGGTCACATACTTAAATGGGGGAAATTCCTGAGGTGTCGGGTGCAGCGTTTTTTTAGGAACAGCATTGTTCGGGCATGTCATACCCGTGCGCGTACTCGCGTTTCTCAGTGAGTCATTTCGCAGTTCTCGTTTTCAAGCTTTTAGTATAGGTTTTTTTTTTTTTTGAGTTGTAAGTATGGCGCTGTGTATTCCTTACGATGAAAAGATTGAGAAACCTTGAAACAGTTTCTTCTGATGGGGATTCATTTAGTGAAGATGTTGATGACGAAGAATATAATAGTAATCATGATTCATCCATAGAGATCATGATTCAGATACAGAAAATGAAACTTTGGAATGTAGCAATGAGTTTTATGTTGGGAAAAAATGGAGTAAAAAATGGAACAAACAAATTTCCGGACTAATGTTAGAATTGGCGCCAAAAATATTATAACTAAACTCCCTAGAAATACGAAAGTATTCTAAAGACGTCTCAACACCTTTAGATTCCTGGTCACTGCTTATCGATGAAGATATGTTAAAACATGTAATCGACAATACAAATATTTATATTGATTCAGTATGTGGATATTTCACTTGTGAACGGGATGCGAAAGCAACAAATGAGTTGGAAATCAAAGCTTTAATTGGATTGCTGTATTTATGTGGAGTTTATAAATCATCCCATGTGAACGTAAGAGATTTGTGGGCAACAGGTGGAACGGGAATGGACATATTTCGGGAAACAATGTCAGTGAACCGATCCCTCTTTCTTTTACGATGCCTCCATTTTGATGACATTAGAGATCGTCTCCAGTAGAAAAGACTAATAAAATTAGCTGCGATAAGAGAATTTGTTGGAAATTTTGAAAATTTTGTCACAAATTGCCAAAAGGCTTATATTGTAGGAGAATATGTGACCATTGATGAGAAGTTGGAATCAGTTCAGAGGTCGTTGTTCCTTCAAACAATAATGCCCAACAAGCCAGCAAAATATGGCGTAAAAATATTTGCTAAATATTTGCTCTTGTAGACGCAAGGGTATTTTATACCTGGAGTATGGAAATTTATGCTGGTAAACAACCAGATGGGCCATTTCAAGTTGAAAATGGTGCAAGCGAAGTTGTCAAATGTTTAATAAGGCCCCTTATACAACTTCTGGTCGAAAATTTAACAGTTGATAATTGGTATATGGGATATGAATTATCTCAAGATCTCCTAAATCCCACCTGAGTTTCTGGCAGAAAATTATTACGAATAGTAGGTACTATGTGTAAAAATGCGTAAGAGAGAAATCCCACCTGAGTTTCTGGCAAAGAAAAGAGAAGTATATTCTTCAATTTTCGGTTTTCAGAAAGAAGCAACACTTGTATCTTATGTGCCTGAAAAAAAAATAAGAATGTGATCCTGTTATCCACAATGCATTCCGGCGATCAAATCGATGAATCTACTGGGGAATCTAAAAAGCCTGAAATCATTACATTCTATAACATGACAAAAGGAGCAGTCGATGTTGTAGATGAGATGGCAGCTGCGTATTCTACAGCAAGAGTAGCACGTCGATGGCCTATGGTGATTTTTTCTTTTCAGTGTTAAACGTGGCTGCCATTAATGCAAGAATAATTCTACTATCAAAGAAGGAACCACCAACGGAATACCGTACCAGGCGTACTTTTCTCAAAGCCTTAGGGATGCAGCTAATAGAAAGTGTTTAAAATGAACGACGACGAGCATCTGTAGTTCCTGATTCTAGGCAAACACTGACCACCGATGAACATGTTAACAATGAACCAATCCCCAAAAAACCTAAAATTACTTACAAGAGGTGTACAGAGTGCCCCAAGAAAAAAGATAGAAAGACTAGAATCCATTTGTGAAAATTGTAGCAAAGTAGTATATGTATGGAATATATGACCTCATTTTGTAACACAAAGTGTTCAAAAATTGTAAGTAAATAATTTTACCTCTCTCCTTATTCTTTCATATTTTGTCTAAAATGAAGTATTAAGTTGGTTTTACATTTTAATTTCTTTTAAAAACCGATTAATTTTATTCGGCAAATTTTTAATTATAAACTTTTTATTCGGGTATGACATACCCGGCGCGTGCTCTCGTGTTCGTCGGATCGGTGCCTGTGCTCGCGGGTTAAGGGAAGGGAAAAAAAAAAAAAAAATACCATAAATTTTCCTTCTGAAAGGAATTCATTGCGTCAAATCAGAATAAGCTCGAACCAGGTAACAGAATTCTGTTGCCTTTTCCCAGAATGTAGTAATCATAAAGTTGTTGTTTATTTATGGTTATGGTATTGCACGAGAGGTTTATTTGTAGTAAGAAAAAGGTTTGTGGAAGATGTTCCGAGGAAAATTGGCTTGTATTTTCGTTAGACATTGGGAAAACCACGAAAACGCTAGTGCAGTCAGTCCGCTTACCGAATTTTGAGCATGGATTGAACCATCAGCATTATCCACTCTGTCACCATCAGACTTCTGACTGAAAAGAATAAAGTAAATTTAAATATTTATTTCTTAATCTCCAGCTTTTGGCATGTCGTGGACTATTTCTATTCCGGAACCCTTGTTATGTAAATTGCGGGGCGGTGGGGAATAAATCATTTTGAATGAACCTAAATTTCGAAGTATCGAATAAGTTTAAAAAAAAAAGAGATATTAATAAATATATATCAAATTGAGGAGCTAAAATTTTGAGAGCTAATTTTTTTAAAATCTACTCGTGCGATTTTTGTAAAACTTTGCAGTTTGGCATAATTTGAGTCCTAGAATCGAAATATGGAAAAAAAAAAAACTGGCATGTCATTGAGAAGAAGTTCGATTTTTTTTTGTCAAAATACCCTAATTAGAACAATTCTCTATATAAATCTAATGCATAACCTAAGTCGCGCTTTCAAGACATTAAAAGCGCAATTTGAATTTTGTCAATCGGCCCAGTAGAACGAGAGATACAGAACTGTCCCATTTA